AAGATTTCCTCAAGGCCAGAGTCCCAGCCAAGCCACCGCCTGGCTTCTCCATCCTGTGCAGACCAGCAGGTCCTGTCTTGGTGTGTGCACTGCCTGGGCTCCTTGTAGGTGGAGGCGGAGGAAACCAGAGCTGCTCGAGGTGTTTCCGGGAGGAAGGTCATCAGCACCAGGCTCAAGGTCACCACTGTGGGAAGGGCAGGGTTTGCAGGCTCTGACTGGAGGGACACAGAGCCCAGAGATCTTCTGCCTTCAGCTAATGGCCACGTTGTCCCACTCCAGGGGCCGTATTCAGGGTTGGGCGGAGGGAGCACCCGCTGACCAAGTCCTTCCAAGGGGCCAGGGCTGCTTTCAGACACATCAGAGAGTGCATTTCTTTACAGCCTGTCTCCCTGTGAGAAGTGGGGTCCGGCCGCTTTGCACCTGGGGTACCTTCCGGGTACAGTGGCCTGGCAAAGGGAGGAGGCCCTGGTTCCACGTGGATCTGGGCCGGGGCTTCCTGTCATCCTGCAGCACCTGGGACTTGACCCCTGGCTAGCTGGGCATTGCCCCATGGACCATGGCCACGTGTGCACACTGGCTCCCACCAGGCCCGATTTCTCAGTGCTGGGCGACACCTAGTCAGCTCCTGATGCCACTGCTGTGCACACAGCTGACACCGAGGGGACACTGCTGATACCGTGCGGGCACAACCGACACTAGTGGTGATGCAGGGCACTGCTGACACTGTAGGGAAATAGGGGGACGCGGTCTGTCACTGCAGGAAGATGGCGACCCTGTTTCCTGCTCCTTGCTGCTGTTTGCCTTTCCTGAACGCGTGTCCGGGAGCCACCGTCTCTCCCACAGTGACTCCACCACACCAAGCGTGAGTCCTCCGGCCCCCAGGGCTGGCTTTGTCCTGGGCGTAGCCGCTGGTCCTGACATCAGCCCACACAGAGTGAGGTGCGCGGTCAGATGCCTCCTTGCATCGGCCGCCTGCCAGGGCTCAGCACGGCCGGCATGTGGACAGGTCACCACCCCGAGAGCCACTGCACCCTCCGGACCCCACAGCCCTCCATGCTCCTGGGCGTTGTCCAGCTCCTCACCGTCGTTTCTCCTGCTGTGACTTTGCTCTCCTCGGCACTGCCCTGCCGCTGAGGGGCAGCCTGGGGGCTGGGCGGGAACACCGGGCACAGAGAGCTGTGGCACAGGGCAGGGCCTGTGAGCCTGTGAGCCAGCGGTATGGGAGCTCAGGGTGATGGGCAGTGCCACGGCCCCGCGAGGAGGACGGTGTCCCTCTCCACAGGTCCTCTGCCCCAAGCCCAGCTCACTGCGGGGCTGCACTAGGCCGTGGCCGGGCTGGGCGCTGGGTCCAAGGCCAGCACGGAGCTGGAAGCCTCTGGCAGGCACTGGGCGGGATGAGCACACAGAGCAGGCAGGGGCAGAAGGAGCAAACTTGGAAGCCAGAGGAGAATTCTGAGGGTGGAGCCTGGGTGTCACGCTGGGCTGGGCTGCACCCTGTGCAGCCATCCGCAGGAAGGGCCAGGCCAGCCGTGGGGCTGCCCGGGGCCTGGCTACGCAGGTGCTTGGGGGCTTGGTGGCACTGTGTGTGGGGCAGGCCTTGGCTGTCCCCAGGTGGGGAACATCTGGTTCTGATGGGGTCGCCCCAAGGGGAAGCTCCTCCGAGGGGAAGAAGGGAAGGGCCACCGCCTTCTGCTGGTACAGGGCCACCTATAGGGACCGCAGAGCACTGGGTAGGACCTGCCCAGGTAGTGGGCACTACTGGGTGCTGGGCACCACCTGTTGAGGCGTGGACAGGCGATTGCTCATGCCAGCAGCTCGGAGGGGAGCAGGGCTGCGGTGGACGGGGGACCTCACGGCCGCGTGGACAGCTCAGAGTTCCCACACTGACGCCTGGGCGTCCACAGACCCAGGGTGCGGCATCCCCTCCTCTCTGCTCTTCTGGGAGGCGCAGAGCCGCTCTATTCTGTCTTTTCCCGCTGTTATTTTCCCTCAGTGTCTGGGAACCTGACACCCCCAGGGCTCTGACTCACCCCTCCCCGGAGCCCTGGGGAGCTGCGGTGGGCAGAAGGTGGTGAGGGCAGCTGCAGGGTGTCTCAGCCCAAGGTCCTGCTGTGGACTCTCCCTTCCTGCCTTCTGCCCAGGTCCCTCCTGGCTGGCGACCTTGGGGGACAGACGCCAGGTGAGTGGTGGGAGGTGCTCAGGAGGAAGCTGAACGCAGCCTGTAACTCTGGGGAGCTAGCATTCCTTTTCCAGTGCTAGGAATAAACGTCCCCAGCCCTTTTTTCATTATTTATTTTGAGACAGGGTCCCACTAAGTCACTAAATGGCCCATGCCGGCCTGGAATCTGTGGCCTTCGGCCTCACCCTCCTCGAGTGCTGGATGACAGGTGTGCACACCGCAGCAGGCTTCTCTGACATCTGCCACAGGCTTTTAAGCTGCACTCAGAGGGACTGGAGGGCCATCGGACACTGGCGCTGCTTGGGACCATGATGAGGATGGTGCTCTGTGGGGACACAGGCGGGTGACTCTGGTGGGACTAGCCAGCTCCTGCTCTCGGACACCCCGGGCTGTGTGGCCTTCTCAGCGGGAGGCAGGGTTGGCCCTGCTCCATCCCCTGGCAGTCCCCTCTGTGTGCGGACACAGACAGGGCTTGGTGGAACTCCACGAACTCACTGAGGGCTGCCAGCCGGGCAGAGCCACCCAGCTAGCCGCGCGTCCATTTCCCTGGGGACCCAACTCCCACCTGCCCCACAGTAAAAGGGTGACAGCCCGTGCCCACGCAGCAAGTGGTGCAGGGGTCGCCTGTGGGTCCCTGCCAAGCCTCTACAGCTGGGAGAGCCTTGCACGGTGACACAGCCTGGAAGCTCTGCTGGGCTAAGGGTGGCCGCCATGCAGGCCACCTGCAGCCCTCGCACTTTGCAGAGGGGTTCCCGGGTGTGGCAAGTGATGCAAGGCACCCACTGCCTGCCCTGCTCCACCCCAGCCCGCTGGGGACACCCAGGGCCACAGCTGCAGCCACCCACGAGGAAGCCACGTCCAGACGCCGGGGGAGGTGCGTGTGGGCAGAGCAGAGCACATACTTCTGTCCTAAAATAGATTTTATCTGGAAAGAAAACAGATGGGGAATGAGATGGTTTCTTGTTTTCATGAAAAGCGCAGGAAGCAGGGCTTCACATCCCCTCTGCCCGCCCTCCAGAGGCACCTGGGGACCCTGGGGACCCGCTCGGGCAGGACCACCTGCTGAGGCCCGCTGGGGGCAGCAGCACGGGCAGGTGCTCCGGGACCGGGGCAGGACCCCAGGATCCCTTTGTCCATCCTGTGAGCAGAGCAGAGCAGGCCTCAGTCCCGACCAAGGGCAAGGCGATGGCCTCCTGCAGGGGGCCTGGGACAGGGACAAAGGACTTGAGGGGCGTCCAGCTGCAGCCTCTGTTCCGCAGTTCAGAGTCTCTGAGTCACAAGACCGGCAGGGAACCAGGGAGCCATCAGAACGCAGATGCTGAGGCTGAGCTTTGGCTGCCTTTGACAGTGACCGTGAAGTCCTGCTGGGGACATCTCTCGGTCACAGCCCTGCACTATGACCAGTGTTACCCACGTAAAGTCTTCTTTCCACGGAATCCCTCCTGACTCACTCTCTGACATCGTGGGCCACAGCCACTAAATCTCTCTGGGAAACAGCCCGTTCACCAGCCGTAAACCTGTCGTGTTTATCAGGGTGAGCACTGAATGTGGATCACAGACTTAATTCTTAGGTCTGGATGAACCGACGAATTTAAGCCCAGCGATCAACGTAGGACAGAGCTTCCTGCTGTCCCATACAGAGCTGCACCCCTGTGAAGGACAGGGTTCCTCTTACACAGCGCCCTCTCGTGGTTCGAGGCTGGTGGCAGCAGAAGGATCCGCAGCGCCCCCAACCTCACTCCCCGCGCCTCTGCTGCACCTCAGGAGGACGCTGAGAAATCCTCCGCGTTACAAAGCTTTGGTTTGGGGTGAGAAAAACCAGTTTCCATACAACACATGAAAAGCGAACATCCAGCGGATCTGCACACGCACTTCCCAGCCACACATGGTACACACACGTCAGACCCGTGACCCACAAGAAGCGGCCCACAAGGCTGCACGCGTGGTGACTGTGGCCTGCCCTGCAGCCAAGACAGCGGGCCCGGACACACAGACTAGGCTGAGGTCCTTCCACAGGAAGCTCCAAAACTCCAGTTTCCATAGCCATTGGGACCGGCTGGACCGTGCAGGCGCCTGGTGATCGCGGCCGCAGGCTGCAGCCCCGACTCCTCTGTGGACTGGGTCCGGGCGCCTGGCCAACCCTGCAGGAATGGCAAGGTGTGGCCTGTGCAGGGGTCGCAGGGCCTGCTCTGCGGGGTTTAGGACTGGTCCGAGCAGTTGCCAGCAGCAGCCAGCGGCCCCCAGGGAGCCCCGGCCCTGTGCCCGGCCTGGCCTCGGTGCCCCGGTGCCCAGCAGCCCTGTCCGGGCAGGCGCCCGCTCCAGGTCACTCCCGGGGGCAGCAGCACGCACAGAACCAGCTCTCGACAGGGTCCAGGAGCTGCCGGTGCAAGGACAGCGCGGCCTTCTCGCTCTCGCCGGCCCATCACGCACAGCGGGTGCTGCCACCGGGCTCCTCCCGAGGCTCATCTGCAACCGCTGGCACCAGAGCGCTGTCTTCGGCACTCTTGTTGATGGGACAAAATATCCCACACGGGAAATAAATGGAGGAGAGGTCTTAAGTCTCTGTGGTCCGCTGCACGGTGGAGGGCCTGGCGCAGGAGAGCTGCTCACCGCGGAGTGGCCCGAAAGCAGAGCGCGAGGGGGCGCTGGAGAGGGTTCGGACGTCCGGCCCCGCCCGCAGCGACCCGGCCCCGCCCCGCGACCCCTTCCGGCCACGCCCCCGAGACTTCCCGGCCCCGCCCCACCGACCAGGCCCCGCCCCACCGGCCAGGCCACGCCCCCGAGACCCTTCCGGCCCCGCCCCGTGACCCCCTTCGGCGGCGCGGGCCCGTGCGGGGTGGGCGTGGGCTGCAGCCGGGCAGAGCCTGTGCTGTCTGAGGAGCTAGAAGGGCTGAGGGGGACTCGCGCCCTGCCAGGCCGCCCCAGCGGGCCGGGGTGCGCGGGAAAGGCGCGGAGCAGGCTACCGAGGGCCTGCGCGGGCAGCGCGACCCCTGGCGTGGTGGCCGTCGTGGGTAGAAAAGTAGCAGGTTCGCACGCGAGAACC